TGGGCAGAGTACAAATATTGGTGATAACGGCTGGGCAAATGAACAAATTCAAGGTCCTATTTGATGTCGGTGTGGGTTGGATCTAGTAGTGAAGATAGCACACACACTTAGAAGAATTTGGGAAAATAATTTTACGGGTGCATTCAGTAGAAGGTAAATCATTTAGCATGGGATGAAAATGCTTTTGTAAAGCAAAAATAAAAATCCCTTTTTCTGGTTTATTTTGGTTTGATTTTGAGTTATGTAAAAAAAAAAAGGAAATGATTTTGTACAAAAAAAAAAAAGAAATGTTTGTTTCTTTTTCATGCTCTAAAACCCAAATTCAACAGGTTTCTTACGTTATTTTGAGTTTTCTTTTAACACGTTTTTCATAACCTAAGTCTCTTGAAGGTCATTTTACTATAATACCCTCCTTATATGGGTCATATATTTTTCATGTGGCATTTTTCGTCACTCATTCTAACAAAATGGGGCAAAGTTGTTAACAAAACAATGTTTGAGGGGAGCGTATGTTACTTTTTAAAGTTCAGGAGACAAAGTGTTACAGGGGTCATAATTCGGGCAAAATTTTTGTAATTAATCATTTTATTTATTGGGGTAGATTTGTCAAACGGTCTGAAAAAATGTTACTAGACACATCATCAAAAGCAGTCTAAAAAAACCCGTAAAAGAAAAGAAAAAAAAAGGACTAACACCAGCCTATTGTTAAATAAATACCTAATAAACTTTGTATCATGTTTCAACATTTCTGAATTTTGAAAAGGTTCATTTTGCCATAAATTATTTATTCTAATTCAAAATACCCCAAAATACTCCCTACATTTATAAAATTAATAAAATGATGATGAGACACTACTTATACATTTGTAAATACTCCTTACACTATTCATTTTAAGTCAATTTGTACCTTAAATTATTAATTTTGTGTCAACTTGTCTCCTGATTGATTTCATACACACCCCTTTTTACTTTCCACACCCCCGTTAAATTAAAATTTTCTTATTACAAAAATTCTCTTAAATAAAAAGACAAAAAAGGACAATAAACTTAATTATATAATTCAATTTTTGTGTAATGCCTCAAACCCATGGAGTCTACCTTGTAGGACCTAGCTTAATCAGGTTTTATACTCGTTACTCATACATATTGTCCCCTTTGGGCATCTAGCGGCCCTCAGGGATTTCTTGCATCTCCCAACACTTGAACCCAAGACCTCCCTCCTTATAAGATTCTTAAGTCAAGGGTTACTACCAATTGACCTTTAAGATCAATTGGTACCAACACTTGACTTAAGTACCTTATAAGGAAGGATGTCTTGGGTTCAAGTGTTGGGGGACGTGAAGAAATCCCTGAGGGCCGCTAGGTGCCCAAAAGAAACAGTACGTATGAGTCAAGATCAATTGGTATCAACAATTGACTTAAGAACCTTATAAGGAGGGAAGTCTTTGGTTCAAGTATTGGGGGACTCAAAGAAATCCCTGAGGGCCGCTAAGTGTCTAGAGAGGACAATATGTATGAGTCAAGATCAATTAGTACCAACATTTGACTTAAGAACCTTATAAGTAGGGAGGTCTTGGGTTCAAGTGTTGGGGATGCGAAGAGGGCCGCTAAGTGTCTAGAGAGGACAATATGTATGAGTCAAGATCAATTAGTACCAACATTTGACTTAAGAACCTTATAAGTAGGGAGGTCTTGGGTTCAAGTGTTGGGGATGCGAAGAAATCCCTGAAAGCTGCTAGGTGCTTAGAGGGGACAGTACGTATGAGTAATGAGTATAAGACCTGACTATACCGGGAGTCCCGCTAGGTGGACCGCATGGGGGTTGAGGCATTATGCAATGATTCTTCTAAAAAAAAACTACATGGAGGTATGTTAAATTTTCTTTACTATTTGTTATAAGTACGGAGGTCTTGGGTTCAAGTGTTGGGGATGCGAAGAAATCTCTGAAAGCTGCTAGGTGCTTAGAAGGGACAGTACGTATGAGTAACGAGTACAAGACCTGACTATACCGAGAGTCCCGCTAGGTGGACCGCATGGGGGTTGAGGCATTATGCAATGATTCTTCCAAAAAAACTACATGGAGGTATGTTAAATTTTCTTTACTAATTGTTATATGAAGATTGTTCTTTTATTTTTTGTTTGTTTTTTTGTTTTATGTGTATATTTGTTTTCTAATCATTTTTCTATGATAATCGTTTCACTTTTTTCGTTTTTATACTGTCAGATTGATTAGGGGTTTTCCTTGGTTCTTTCTTTCTTTCTCTTCTTTTTTTTTTTCCTCTCATGCTGCTTGTGCTCATGTGCTACCTTATTGCACTTTTATTTACCTGTGTCCGATCAGTATTCAATCACTATAATGCAATTCAGGCGTTTTGTATTTTTTATTATTAGTTTATTAATTATTTTTTAGTTGTTTTTTTTTCTGAATTGTTTATTTTGCAATTGTTTGCTTATGCCACTTGGGTGCTTTTTTGCAGGATGATGTGTCTATTCCCAGTTAATGAAATCACCTATTAACTAAAGAGAAAAAAAACAAACAAACAAACAAAACTCCATGCACAAAGCTTCAACAAATAAATATATAAATGACAATATTAAAGTAATAAATTAATTTATGTGTGCTGTGTAGTTAGAAAGGGTGTAAAGAGTAAAGAAGTAGATGTAGAGAGAAAAAAAATGGTGTAAAAAGAACCATCGTTGATAATTTTATAGAAAGTGTTAGGGGTCATTTTAGAATTATAGGAGTGTGTAAAAAGAAAATTTAGTCGCTTAAAAATTATGTGAAGTGTGTAGTTAGAAGGGAGGTGTGGAGAGTAGAATAGGAAGTGTAAAATCAATAATTCATGAGGCATTTATAAAATAACATTAGTTCAAAGTGTGTTTTAAACCACTTCTCATCCTTTGAAGGCGAAATGAACTCCCTTTAAAATTTAGAGGGTATATTGAAATAAGATACAAAATTTAAGGGGATATCTATGAAATTAATCATATTCTCGATTATGAAAGGTTAATTTTTGACAACCAATTTGAACTTGTAACATCGACATGTAATACGTTGCTTTCAATGTACTAAATCCTCTACAAAATAATATTGTCGGGACTAAAAAAAAATATTATTTTAGCAAGGTTATTTATTTATCAGTAAATAAATAATTTATTAATTTATTGATAATTGAATATTAATTTAAGAAGAGTTTTATATTTTAATAACTTGTGCCAGTACCTGTATTATTATTTTGACAAAAATTCATGTATGAGTTATAAATAAAAGAAAAATAGTGGATGTAATCAAAATTAATATGTTTACGTATGGAATTCAAAAGTTATCATGTATATACACGAACATAAGAGCCCAAAAATCAATGTAAGTTGTACATAGAATGTTAATAAGTACGTACATTTACGTATTTTTTCAAATTTAATACCTAGAAGATAAAGTGCTTAGGATGCTTTAAGTATATAGAACATAAACTCTATATATACATTATTTTGTCTCAAATTATTAGAATTATCATATTCTGAAAAAGAGGTAGAATTGACAAAAATTGAAGCTGTGAAGAAAAAACTCCTTAATATTATGAATTTTATATATTATTTTTTTTTTTATTTGATTAATGATTAATTTATATTTTTATTGGGCTCTAAAGGATTCGAAAACAATTACTATCTTATATATTTAACGAGATTATTAATTTAGTACATTGACCTAAGTGAATTATGAGAAAATTATTGAAATTACTCTTAGTGTGTAGGTCTAATTTTTTACCCCTTATGCTTTATTAATACCCTTTTGACTAAAATAATTTTTTAACTAAAAAGCTATCAATTAAGAGTAAAGAGTAAAAATCTATACCCATAAATTTTAAGGGGTATTTGTCTCCTATTTTGTTTTATTATTTAATCAAAGTTATTAATTTATTGAACATTCTTTTATCGAGGTTTTACTATAACAAATCTTGCGGTCAAGTCTCAAGACACGATAAAAAAAATGAATAAATAAATAAAAGAATGTTGTAAATTTATAATCAGGTTTATTTGTTGTCGCTCGAGGGAATTCATTTGGCAACGAATCTAAAATGTTTAAAATCAGCTACGTCGATGACATATAGCTCACCCTTAATTTAGAAGGTTATTGGTTCTTAATGCTGCTACAGGAGATTTTATTTGACAACCAATTGAAACTGTCTTGAATCATCACTTTCCATGAAAAAACTGCTCGCCCTTAATTTTAAAAGGTCTTAAGGGGTCCCAAATCAGTAAGACCATTTTGTATTGTATAGTATTATATAAAGTATATTGTATTGTGTTGTCATAATACAATACGATATTTAATGTCATGACGTATTATACAAAAGGCTTAAATATAAAAACTTCAAAATTTTAGGGTTAAAATGAAATTTTCAAAAAGTTTAAGGCCAAAATATAATTTTTTTTTAAGTTTTGGATTAAAATATAATTTTTAAAAATTTTGGAGTCTAAATTTAATTTTGTAAAAATTTTAAAGTCAGAATGTAATTTTATAAAATTGAGAGGTCAAAAATTAATTTATAGAAAATATAAATTTGCATTGTGCCCCATAATTTTTAAACAATTAAACTCCAATATGACTTTATGTCAACTCAATCATACCCAATTCCAACATGAATCGTGAATCTATTATAAATAATACGACACAATACACTAAAAATGAGCCATATTCAATAATACGACATACACCGTATTAATTTACCATTCATATTATGATGATAACACCAAACATTATATTATTATATTACGGTCAAACAATGCCCTAAATCATTAAACTAGGAAAGAGCCCTTTTGTTTTATCAAATATTCTCTCCTCTCTTTGAAATTAGAAGAATTACGAAATAGTGAACCCCATGAATTTGTAAGGTCATTCTTCCCCTATTCCCTCGACCAAACCCAACAATACCGTTTCCTCTTAACATTCCTCCAATTTCTTTCCACTCTACCAAACATAGGTTATAATTCAGAGAGCAAGATTTAAACATTTTCTTGGACATTCTACCAGGAAGACAAATTGGCAAATAATTCCACATCAGATAGGCTTTTCTAAAACACAAGGGCATAATACTTCTAAAAATTGGAAATATTAATAAAAAGAAATAAAAATAATAAAAATTACAAGGCAATCAATCACGATCTTCTGTCAAGAAATTAACGAGACCAAAAAGATAAAATTTTCTCCTTAAGTAATCTTACGCAGATTTGATCCGTTCCCAAGCAAAACCTCTGATCAATCCACTTTGCATCAATCTTCCTGCAACGCTTTCATCAAATACAATCTGCTGAAGCTTTGCCCCGCAACCCTATAGAAATATCATCCAAAAAGTTAAATAAGATATAGAAGAGCTCAGCATTGTCAAATGGCGCAGTAGAAGGATATTTATTTATTTCATCTCGGAGAAAGGCAAAAGTGTACACCACTAAGCGGATGTTAAGATATTAATAATGTATAGATCTATTAATATGATAACGTGATTTGAGCCACTGAGTAAAAACTATTCTTTAGTAGAAATCCACCGAATATTTTCGTAATGGTCAATCCACAATCACCAGATCGTGATGACCAATCAGAGATGAAAAATTATGCAGGGGGGCAGAAAGAGGGAAGGGTGCTGCTTAGATGCATGGAAAAACAAGTTATGAGAGGACAATTCGCGTAAGAAAATATAAGATCAGGGAGAGTGATAAAGCTCAAAACAGAGCCCACAAGAAAACATTCAAAACATGAGTGCATGGAATTTTACTACATACCCATTAATCTGGTTGCAATAGTTTGAGATTTGATTTGTTATGAGGAAACTCTCCAACCGAGATGGCTCAGGGATCGGCTTGAAACTAGGATTTGAAGGATCCTCCTCAGGCAAAGGGTCTTCGCCTGCGAGCTTCCTTGCAGCATTCTCAGCCCTACAAAATAATATAGTCAATTACCGAGCCTATATTACACGTAGTTTGAAAGAGAAATTAAGAAGTTCTTTAAGAATCAAATACCAACATCCTAATATTTTTAACTTAATTTAACATATAGCCATATACCAATGGTCTTAAACCCACATGCATCTGGCTAGGAAAACTAAGTGCACCAACAGAGAACAAGCATAACCAAAATGTTCCAAGTGGATAAATAACAGGAACCCCATACCCCACCCCTCTAACCAAAATAAATGTTGACACTCATGCACCCACAAGGGCGACAATTTCCTATGGAACCAATATGGCAACAATACCACAGAAAATCTAGAAAACGAAAACCAATTGAAAAGATGACTGTTGTTACCTTCGCTTCTGAAGCCATGCTTGCTGCTGGGCTTGCTGACGCGACAGGCTTCGGTAGTGGAATTGGAACTGTAGAAGAAACTCATCATGTCATGCAAACAATTCATCACAGGAATATAACCCTCCAAAAAGATAGTTACAAACCTTTTGCTGTTCCATCGACAAATCGTCCATGCACTCAATCAGAAATTCCATATTCCTCTCCAAGAATGGACTGGTTGACAGTTGCAAACGATCATAGTCACACTAACATGGGAACCAAAGTCAAACAAGGATCCAAACATTGTATACGTGTGAAGTATTTCATAGTAAAAGATCATCTCATACCTGGGTAACAGGTGTATCAGCTTCCAGCTCCGTCATAAAAGCACTAACAAGTGCAGAATTAGAGACTTTGATCTATTATCAAGTTAAAGGAGAACCGTTAGTATATTAACCAATATTTATTTGTGAATGTAACATCTAACATTATGCCAGAATAATCAGGACATTTATGCATTATTCCCAAACTCATATGATTGTGACAGGAGTAGCCAGTAAGAGATAGTAGTAAAAGTAGAAGTAAATCAATAACAATCAGCGTAAACAGTAAATTAAGAAAATAACTAAATAGTCATCAGGCCCCCATAATGATGTGACTATCCCATCTTCACAATGATAAACATGAACATCAAGATAGTTGAAATAATAATCAGAAATTTATCGACACAATGTTCCAATTGCCACATGTATACTGAATATGAGTGGTCATATCTTATACACTGAATAGTGAATAAATGATCAACAATGACCTGTTCTAATCTGACCTGACAATTAATAATTACGATGTGGTTACAGATAAGTGACACGAGAAAAAGAACAGACTTATTTAGGTTAATAGTTTTGCCCAAACACTTATTTGCAGCATTTTGATAATATTCTTTGCATTCCCAATAACTATGGGATGCATCCAATAATTATTATGAGAACTGTTCAGCAACAACCACTTCGATGATTGAAACAAAATATTTAGCTTCAAGGAAGAATTACACCCAAAAAAAAAGAAAAAAAAGACGGGCAATATTTTCAAGATTTTGAAGCAGATCTAATAGACTTCCATCTCCTAAAAAAACAAGAGGTAAAGTTAAAGCAGCTTACAGGTATTTCCTCAAATATATCCACCCATGACAAGTTCTTTTCTCTCAACCTAATAACCACCAAAACAGATGAAAATTAGTCCAAATCTCATTATTTATTTCAACAGAACAGAATATAACATAAAATGAAGAGACCATACTTCTCTCCTGTAAAATTGTTATTGCGGTAAAGATCCATAAATGAATCAGTAAGCTTTAGTGCCTTAAGCGCTAAGACACCTTGATTGGACCTTGACGGGTCATAAATTATGCATACACACCGTCTAATATTCTCCTGCAAAAAAAAATAATGAAACGAAAACCCGTCAAAAACGTGTGAAACTAATTTTTCTAGGATTAATTTCATAATTGCCCCCTGAACTTTGTACCTTGTTTCAACATGCCCCCTAAACTTTGAAAGGATTCATTTCAACCCCTGAAATATGTCACCCCAGTTCAATATTCCCCCTACATTAATAAAACTAACAAAATGATGTCACCCCAGTTCTAGGACCAAGACACTTAATCTAACACTTGTAAGCTCATATCACACAATCTAAAATCCAACATCTCAATTCAACAACTTTTACTATAAATCCTCATGGCCCATGATTCAATAAAGAATTAACATTCCTTTAGTAGCAAGTGCATCAAACTCAAAGCACAAGATACAATGAATTCTTCTTTTACACAATTTACTCAAACCTCCGCCGACTTTTTCACGCTTCCAACTTTAGCCCATTACCAACAGCCAATCAAGAACATGGCTACCAAAACTAAGGTTCCTTTGCCCTTGCCCTTTATTTTAACAAAACTCTAATTTGCAACCACCAAACTTCTAAACTACCCATAAGTTTGTGACAAAGAATACACAGAGATAGACACACACACCCCTGTTCTATGTCCATTCATTTAGTCTTCCTAACCTCCACAAAGAAACTAATATACAGGCCCAAAATACAATTCTTTATTTGGAATTAATTGCAAGCTGAAAATCAAAGCAACCTTTTCATTACCTGATAATTCATGAAGGTCTCAATCAGCTCCACTGTTTGGTAAGAACCAAACAAAGTCGATTGGTACCTGAAACATTTGAGAGAGAGATTATAGATTAAAGAGGAAAGAAGAGTACGAATATCTAGAAACAAAAAGACCAAACTGTAGAATTCTATTATGACAACCAGATAGCCGAACAACTAAGTGCACAAAGGTAAAAGTTGTTTGTGTTCTCATCAATATCGCCAATTACGATATATGCATATGTAAGCATCCCGTCATTAAAATGATGCAAAAACACATGTTCATATCAAACTTACCAACCAACAGTGTTATTGTCAACATTAACCTCTCTCAGACATCTCATCATCTCAAGCTGGTAATTAGCACCATCTGCTTCAATCTCCTCATCCTCTTCCCGAATCTAAATATAGTTCAAATTTTTTACAAATTGTACAAGTGGAAAAAGAGTTAGAAGAACGTAGGTAAAATGAAGTTAATTTTCTACATAATACAAGGAATAAGGAGTGAACGATAAAATATCACACCGGAAAGGGGAAACAATTGGTGACTTCAAGAACACTCCCCACATCTAACCCAAGAAGTTGCCCTGTGACTAAAGCGGGTGAAAACTCCTTGCAGTGCTTGATTATCTTCAGGATAACCTGTTCAACAAGAAATTTTGTTTAAGGGGAAAAAAAAAGGAAGTTAGATTATATAAAGAGGAAGAAAATCAGAGGAACAGAATTCAATTGAATTTCGATTAGAAGCATTGTCAGTTCACAATCTGTGAGCTACGACCAAACAGTAGATTATATACATAGAACGTTGAAGCTCAAAATCTTTGACTATTTTCTTCTTTTATTTAGCAGTGTTTACTTTGGCAGCCATTTAAAACCCAGGAAAAAAAAATCCAAAAAACCATTCTTTTCATGGGTTTAAACCACAATCCAAACCTTTTTGCCAAGTGTTTTTTCTCAAAAAAATTTTAATTCATGTTCAAACCTACGAATAGAACAACAGGCCTTGAGTAACACAATAAAGTATATTGACTGAAGAACAAAACTTGATTAGACTCGACCAAAAAATTGTCAGCTTGAAGAGAAAAATCCTAAAATTTTATATAAGGTCAACTACGGACAATAGATATCAAAATTTTGAGCTCAAAAGTTGATATACTTCCTCCTATTTTCCCCAACGTGTAAAAAAAAAAAACAAAACAAAAAAACTCTTAAGTAACACAAAGCGGTACATACAACAAAAATTGAAGAATGACACTGAATTCGATTCAAACAAAGGCATTGTCAGCTCAAAAATTGATGTTATTTCCTCCTATTTCCCCAATGTTATCTAAGCAGCCATTAAAACAAACAAACAAAAAGAAATCTAAGTAATACAAAGAGGTAAACACAACAAAAATTCAAGAACGGCACTGAATTCGTTTCAAATCAAGGCATTGTCAGCTCAACGATGAAAACTGTAAAATTCTCCAGCACGCTTACGACGAACGCTACGATACAATATATACAAGTGTGTGTGTGTGTGTGTGTGTGTGTGTGTGTGTGTGTGTGTGTATATATATATATATATATATATAATTTAAAGCTCCAAACTTGATACACCTGGGGTTTCCTAAGAATCAACTTAACTGAAAAATCGAGAACCAGAAAGAGAGAAAATTAGTACCAGGCCTTCAATCTGAACAACTCTGAGAGGAGACGCGACTTCCTCCGTCGCTGCCACTTGAAGGAAAGATCTCGCCACTGCCAAACACAGGCATCGAAACCAGTCAGAAACCAATTCGTCAAATAACCAAACAAACGCGAACAGAAAAGGAATTTCACTCACTGTTCGCCATGATTACGCAGTTTCTAAAGCTCGTAGAGAGAGAAAGTGGTATTCGCGAGTTGGGGTAGAAGAAGAAGGTTTCTCTCTCTACGGAGGATTTTCCTCGGAATGGCGATCAAGTGATATAGAGAGAGAAACAAATAGAAACCCTAGAGTAGTTTCTTCTCGTCGGAAAACTGATGATAGAGCTGGATTGGGCTAAGACTCCAGAGTCGGTCTTTTCTGGGCTTTACTAATAGGCCCACGGCTGCATTTGCACGAAAAGTAAACAGTTCGGGCATTTATGTAATCACAACAAAAAATAGAAACCTGTATGATTAGTTTTTTATTTTTATGCAATGTATTTTGAGGTTATCAAAAAAAAAAAAAAATCGTATCTTTTATTTTCAATTGTATCAAATTTTTATCTTTACCTACTAAATTCAGGCAAATCCTTATATTTTTCGGTTAAAAGTTTATTTTGACTATGAAAATATGTTTGGTTGGAGGATTCAAATCATGATTTAAATCATGGTTCATGGTTCGCTACAACGTTTTTTCTCATAAAAAATACACGTAAATTGAAAATAATTCTAATCACATGATTCTAATTCATGAACTAAACGTTATGTAAAATGCTCTTAGCGTTTTGTTGTTTTTTTTCTTTCTTCTACTTATTTTTCTCCTTTAAGGGCATTTAGGTTGTTTTAGCGAAAATTGGTCATTAATCAAGAAAAGATAAGATATGATAGTCTATAATACAATATAAACAAATTACACGGTTGTCCCCCGAACTATAGGTTGTGTCACAAAATGCCCATCAAACTTTATTTTGTAATATCTGACAAAGCTCCACTACGGTGACATCTTTCTTGGGGATCTGTCTTCGTTTGTTGCCATTGTCCGCTTGCTGCGGTCTTCTCTGAAAAGCACTGAATTCTCACTTGCATAAGTTTTCCTTTCAGATTTGCTTTTTCTAATTTTTTTTTTTTTTTTTTTAGTTTAGTTTCTGAGAGAGGGAGAAAGGAAGAGAGAAAAAGAGAGAGAATTTGAAGAAAAAAAATAGTTTATGATAGATTTTTGTTGATAACAAATATTCTCATATGATATGTAAAATGACCTGCAAGATATGAAAAATAACTTATAGGATATGAAAGATAATCTATAGACTATTAAAAAAGATAACTCACATGATATGAGCAGATGACTGCAAAACATTCAGGGGGCGTTTGGTACGCAGTAATCAGTTGAAATCATATTCCTGGGAAAGTGATGGAAGGTAATATGATTCTCATGAATAATACATTATTGTGTTTGGTTACATATAGGAATCTTGTCTCAAATTCCCAAGAATAGTGTATTACAGTGTTTGGTTATGCATGGGAATGTTGTGTTTAAAAAAAAATTAGGAGAATATAATTTTCACACTTTTAGATTTTTTTTAAAAAAAAGTATAAGAAAAAATAAAATTTAAAAAAAATGAATTCTCTTAATAATTTTAAAATTAATGAAAATTTAAAGAAAAATATTTATAAATGAAGATTAAAAAAAATATCCTTAACGATCTTTCTCTCTCCTCTCTCGCAATCTGACTCTCTCTCTCTCATCTCCCCTAAATCTCGATCTATCTCTCTCTTTCTCTCTCAATTTGGGGGTGGGAGGACGACGACGAGCGACGAAGAGGGGGCCCTAAGACGGAGGAGGCGTTGTGCAACGCTAAGAGGTTTCTCGCAACGGAGGGCGGTGTGTTGGGTTTCTCACGACAGAGGCCGGTGAAGTGTTGCGTTTCTCCCGATTGAGACTGGCGAGATGCTGGGTTTTGCGAAGGAGGCTGGCGAGGTGTTGGTTTCATGACGGAGGTCAACGAGGTGTTGGTTTCACGACGGAGGCCGACGGGGTGTTAGGTTTCACGTGAAGGAGGCCGGCGAGGTGCTGGTTTCATGGCGGAGGCCGACGGTGGTTGGGTTGTGTGACGGCAGCTAGCGCGGGGCGAGGCTAGTCGTTGGTGGCTGTGATGATTTTTGTGGTGGTCTAGTTGTGATGATGGTGGCTTTGGGCTTTATGTGAGAATCTCACATTTAGTTAGATTCCCGGGCATCTAAATATCACCCTCAAATCAAATTGAGGGAAAGTAAATCCTATAGTATTTACTTTCTTGGGAATCTAAAAATTAGAGTTCTTGTACCAAACATGGTAATCTTACAGATTCTCATTTCTATGCTTAAAATTATTGCATACAAAACGCCCTTAATAACATAAGATAAACTTATAAACAACAGTAGAAATAAAATAATGTTACCTCTTTGACGATTTTTCTAAAAATTTCCCTTCACATTTCAAAATCATGTTAAATCTCTACATTTTTTTTGGCAAAGGTTGATTTTGATTATTATAAATACCTAAATGTCCTTTATATTTTTGAACTCTGTCTATTCTTACTAGTCTTTAACGTGCACTTTGCGTGCGTGATTCATTTAAAATGGTAGTTATATAAATTATTGTTTAAAAAAAAAGAAAAAAGAAAGAAATGAAGATAAAAGCGAGAAAACGATCTGAAGTATTAGACACAGATAAATGATTTTAACTTATTTTGTTGTGTTTTATGTTAATTTTATTTCTTTTTAAAAATTTATTTTTATTTAATTGGTGCTATTTTATTTTATTTTAGTGCATTTTGTTTAATTTTAATTTTATTCAAATTATTCATAATATTTTTATTTGAGCAGAATAAAAAATTTGATGCAAAATAGTTTTAAAACAGACAAAATCAAACCACAAATTAGTTCAAAATAAATATAATAAATAATAATAATGAATAGTCAGATGAAGCTTATCAACGATCTTGATGCGTGTATGAACAGTACGTGCAGAAAAGGAGAGTGAAGCAGTATGCATGCATCAGGCAGGCCCCGCTACGATTCTCAATGAGTCAATTAGAACGCGCGGGACGGTAATGTCTGCCACTTTTTATTAGTGTTTAATTACCTGCATCGTGATTTACGTGAACTCCTTTTTCCACAAATACTATTCAGACACATGGTAAACTAAAAAGATAGACCATTTACACAACAACAACACGTGTATTTTACTAAAAAAAAGCTCTCAATTAAAGCTTGACCCGTGACACAAAAGAAGACAAAATAACTTAAACAAAACTTTGAATAGTTTTTTTGTGTCTAGATAAAAAGTAATTTGTGTTTAGATGAATAATAAGTGCATTCCCCTTTAATATATAGATTATAGATTATAGATTATAGATTATAAATTCTTTGTTCCTTTTAATGGAATTTAGGTCCTTTTTATAGTTAAAATTGACCATTAACCGAGAACAAGGTAAGAATGGAACAAAAATTCATTTTTTTTTATTTAAAAAAAACAAAAATTTGAATCTGAAGATATAAACGCGATACAATCTAAAATACATGGTATGATTTTTTTTTTTTTTTTTGGACAATCTGAAAATGCAGGCATAAAAATGAAAAAAAAAAAAAAAAACCATAAAAAAGAGAGCAACTTGAGAATTCAAGCAAAGTTTGGGGGTAGAAGCGCAAAAAAAACGCTTCTATAAATAGGGAAGAATGAGATTGGAAAACCCTAAGGAAGAGATCCTATTACTAAGAAACGAACTGCGAGTGAGAGATAAAGCTTGAACTCTGCTGTGGTCGTGTCTTTCATCCTTCCCATTTTGATTATTGATTTTGATAATCAAAACTCAAAATGTGAAGGAAAGGATCTGATAACGAATCAAGGCGTCTCAGAAAGCCAGTGCTCTTTTTCTCTCAGTGAGCTCTTGGCTCGCTATGATGTCTACAGTAGTTTTTCCCCCCAATTCCCAATCGCTTTCTCCATTTTCTTTTTGTTTTTGGCTTTTTTTTTTTAATTATTTGGATTAGAATTATTTCTTCTAATTTTTTTGATTAGTTATTTTTTGAGTTTTTCAAGGTTGGGTGATTCGCAGGATTTTATCCGTTGAAATATTGCAAAACGAATCCACAATTTTGTATTTTTATTTTGTATTTTTGTTTTTTCATATGTTGGAAGATCAGAAATGGTAGCCGCCGGGGAGGGTCAACATAACAACACCATCTCCGTTATATTGGATGTCGTTTTCTCTACTGAAAATTGTATGTCTACGACATGTCGTTTTGTTTAAACGGCATTTCCTTTTTTTTTTCTTTCTTCTTTTTTCTTTAGTAAAGATACATGCATTCGTTGCAATTTTCTTTCGACCAAAAGCTCCGAAAATGGTTTTCGCAAAAGAAAAAAAAAAGATAAAAACCTCTCTGAAAATGGAAAAAAAAAAAGAGAAAATGTAAACTTGAAATGGAAAAAAAAAACTGACGTGGTCATTATATTTGAAATAAAAAAATCTCGTTTACAAACGAAGTAAACATGATGAAAATGCAAGTAGATTTAAGGAAATTTTTTTTTAAAAAAAGTATAATTTTATTAAATTGAAGAAAATAAAATGGATGTAAAAAAATACTTATGCTTAAAATTAGTATCTTTAGTTATAAATATAAAATGTTCATAAATGCAATTATATTATTGGATCCTTATTGTATTTACTCAAAAATTGTAACAATATTCAAATATTGTATAAATTATTAATAAAATTCATAATTTTATTTCTCGTAATATCAAAATAGGATTATAAATATGCTTTTTAAGCACATATTTTAACTTTTAATTGTTCAGATTTAAAATTTATGGAGCAATTTATCAAAATATGTAAAACTTAGGGAGTAAAAATTTGAGCCATATTACAAGAGTGTGATAGGTTCAAAAGGTTAGTCGTCAAAATTTAAAAGTCAAGGAATAATTAGTTGGACTCTATGTGCTATCGTATGTTAAGTTTTAATTATCATGTTATCATTAAAAACATATAACATTTGAACGTAAAATCTAAAAAAGGAACCAAAATGAAGAAAATAAAGTTTTAGGGCAAGAAGGTAAAAAAAAAAAAAAGGTAACGGTGGAGTCAAATAAAGAAGTAAATAAATGTTATGGCAAAAGGGACCAAAGGGAAAAAAAAGTAAAACAAAATTTCATGGCAAAAATTTAAAAATGTGTAAAAGATGACCAAAAATAAAGAAATAAATAAGTTTTAAGGTAAAAGAAACAAAAATGGGAAAAACAATTTAAAATTTTAGGGAAGAATAAAAAAAAGGGTAAGAAAAGACCAAAAAAGAAATAAATAAGCTTTACGGTAAAATGAGCCAGAACGAAAAAAGATAAAATTTGAGGGCAAAAATAAAAAAGGGTCAAAAGGACCTATTAAGAAAGATATAAATAAGTTTGAAGACACAAGGAATCAAAACGAAAAAAAAAAGGACTAAAATAAAAAGGGCATAAAAGGGAAAAAATAAAGAAGTAAATAAGTTTTAGAGTAAAAGTAACTAAAAAATAAAGTTTTAGTGCAAAACTTAAGAAAAAGGGTAAAAAAAAAGGAAAATGAAGAAATAAGGGCTTGTTTGGTAAGCATATTTGAATTATAACTTGAATTCTGCTAGTGTTTTTTTATCTCACAAAAAATTAGAACTAAAAAATTTCTTGTCTCACAAAAAACTTACTAATGAATCAGAATTACTGATTTAAATATATATTCCAAACGGGTCATAAATAAGTTCTAGAGCCAAAGGAACCAAAATGAAAGAAATTTCAATACAAAAATAAAAAAAGTTAAAAAATGACTAAAATGAAGAAATAAATAAGTTTTAGGATACAATCGAGAAGAAATATCTAAGTATGATAACACCTAAAAAAACTTAATGTGTAAATGAAAGAAGATACGTTAAAAGTAAGGGCAAGAATGAAAAATATCAAATTTTGCGGGAAAAAGTAAAAGGAAAAGAGAATATGGAAAAGAACAAAAAAACATCAAAGGAAGAAAAAAAAACTCAAAAGCTAAAAGGAAAAACTCACAAAAAGACAAAATAGAAAGACTAAAGTTTGAACAGTGTCTTTGTGTCTATATAAATTGTAAATACATTCCTTATTTTATATTGTTATAGATTATAGATTAGTGGTATGCTCGCGCGTTGCTGCGGACAAAATTGTATATTATACAGGAAGTTGAAAATGCTTACAACGTGTTACATTCTTTGTTTTCCGTTTTTTTTTTTGTTGTTCTTTAGAATTGTAAAATACAAATTTTAAAAAATTTAGTGATAATTACTAGGGAGATTGAAAAAATTTTAATTATATATAGTGTAAATTAAAGGATTTAGAAAAATAAATGAGCTTCTTGTACATTGTTTAATACGGATTACGGCAAACAGATATCTCAACAAAAATAAATGAAAAAAAAAGAGTTGTTGTCTAGAAAGCGTTAGTATCTTTCTCTTATTATTATTATTATTATTATTATTATTATTATTATTATTATTATTGTTATTATTATTATTATTTATTATTATTATTATTATTATTATTATTATTATAATTATAATTATTATTATAATTATTTTGAGTTGGCTTGCGATCTTTTGTAAAAAGAAAAAGGCCCTGCCTTTTATCAAAGCAAAAAGAGAAGAGAAAAGAGGAGCAAATCGGACATTTCAAGAGGAAGGGCTGAACTTTTTCCACTGTCCAACTCCAAAGGAACAGTGAATCTGAGAGATGATGAACAGTTCAGGGTTGTTTGGTTGAAGGATTCGTCCCCTGATTCAAATCATGGTTCATAATTCGCTACAGTGTTTTCTCTCACAAAAAATACACATAAATCGAAAATGGTTATAATATTATAATTCTAATCCATGAACCAAACGTCTCCTTAATGAATAGACCACAAAATCCATCGCAGGAGAAGAAAGAGGAAAACCGGAATTACACTATTCATAACATTGTACAATGAAGAATGATTTTCCTACCCTCTTTTAGTATATATAATAATTTGTCAAAACAAGTAAAATTTAGGGGAATAAAATGTTAAAGAGATCAATCCCTACTTATAGAGAAAAACACAATAATTATAAAATAGAGACATGGTAGTACTTGGTATTGATAAATCGATAATTTGTTGCTTGAAATGTATTAATTAATAACTAATATTCGTTAATCACTAACTGTTATTGATTAATCAGTGATGAATGATCAAGTTAATCGATAATAAGCTAAATTTAATCAGTGATTAACCATCAAATTAATTAATAATAAAATAAAGTCAATAAAAAATCATTTTTCTAATTTTACAAAACAATGATCTTTTACTAAAAAAACAATCATACTCCCAAATCCCTAATTAGGTTTAGTTTGTTTTTTCTTTAGAGTTTTAAATTGTAGTTGTAGGCATAACCTATCAGTAATTTCACACATGACTTCGTTACAAGGTTAGAAATGACATTCTTACTCCAGGATACACTTGCGGCTACGTATTTGCCCTTAATTGAGTAAGTGTAGGGATATTATATGGGGATAGGGGAGGTTATGAGAAATTTAGCCCCCGATTCGAGGGTAAGGCGGGGTTAGGGAAGCTCTCCTATCTCCATCCCGCCCCAATTATGTATACTTTAACATATGCTCGAGTTACAATGTTGCTTTTAGACTTTGGTTTGTTATTGTTCGAGTATAAATTTGGCATTAAGATTTTGATTTATCTTTATGACGTATTAGTAGTTATGTTGTTCAATTTTCTAATTATTTTAATGGAAGTTTCTTTGCGGTTTGATAACGTTGCAAGTATTTTTAAATTCTTAGTGAGTAACTGGTAAGGTATAAGGATAGTTCACCTGGTGGGGATTTTCCGATCTTGATTCCGCCTTAAATTAGATGGATATGGAGACGAGCATGAGGATGAGGGAAGTATATACCGCCCCTACCCCGTCTTGTTGCCATTTTTATTTTAAAGTGTAGAATTCTAATTCTCCTCCCCCTTCAAGTTTTTTTTTTTTTTTTTAAATTTTAAACTGATTAATTCGATCAAAAATAAATTTAAATAGTTTGATTAATAATTTTCCTATTCAGACAGACCGGACGAATCATAAAACACGTCTAGTATTTTATGATGCATACTCTTTTGTTCCGTTCTTGTCCATAATGCATAACAATGTTTTTGAAACAACAATACCAAAAAAAAAAAAAAAAAAAAAAAAAAAAAAAAAAAAAAAAAAAGTAAAAGAATAAAGATAACAAAAAGTTAGGCTTTCTCTGAAGCCTATCAGAAAATTTACATACATCGCCGTTGAAAGGGGGGTTAATTTTATGCGTGAAGCGATTCAACACCATAAAAGGCAAAGAGATGTCCTTTTTTGTTTCTTTGATGAATAAGGAATGTCCTTGCAATGCAAGCAAAGTGGCCAGTCAATCTTTTTCTCTTTATTTCCTTTTCCATTTTTTTAATCTTTTTCCCCTTCAAATAGTACGTTATAGTACATAGCAACCCACGTGGTACTCATGTTTTGACGTATAAAATTAGGTTGGCGATGAAAAGGATTTATGTTGGATTTATATCTAATGATATCTTGGTCATAAATGATTACATCAATGAGAAATTTTAATATTTTTTTAAAGAAAACAATTCTCCAATATAATGCTTATTTATGTGCTAAATTTGACTTTGTTGAAATTAGTACTAATTATAACATATGCCAAATTTTAATATTTGACTGTTATTCGATGGTCGATATATTCTCGTTTTCGTTTAGTTATTATAACGTTGTCAGTATTAAATTATTTAAGAAATTAAACTTTTATTTTTACAAGTTAAAAAGCTTAGTAATTATAATAAAAATAAATGTAACATTTTAAATAGGAGTTGAGAGTTTCTTGTCCCATTAATTGTCCTCCAACAATATTTTACCACATCATCTAAATTTTAAAACTTGGCCATATAATAAATACAATTAGTATATAATTCTATACTCTTTTCGGTATTTTGACTTCGATCAAATTATTCTTAAAGTGAGCATGTATACAATCCCCTTTTAAAAATAATTTGGTCTTTTCACAAGTTAAAATTAAATTTTGACCGAGAAAAGATACAGATTTATGTATTATCTGTAATTTGAATGCTTATTTTTTATGAATTAAAAAACGATTGTATACTTCTAATAAAATATAATATAGGGTATAAAAAGATAAATAGCCCTAAAATTTTTAAAATTGTGTGTAATTGGATAAGGACTTTACACTAAAATGTGTCTTTTTCTTTTTTCTTTTTAAATTTCATTTACGAAGTAATTATAATCGGGGAGTTGAAAACAATTTAGACAAGATATTGCCAGCCGAACTAATTCGGATTAAAGCTTTGATTAATATGAAATTAATCATACAAAAATCAACCAATCCCAGCCCTGCCTTCAACAGGACGATCGAGCAAGAAACACTCAACACCATGTTGAATGCTATTACAGAAATCACTTGTGATTCACTCAATTATTGATGCAATCATTTTGAATTAATGTTAATTTATTCAAAATGAACAAAGAAAAGTGACTTTTGAATTATATATAAAACAAAGAGTTTAAGAATTTGGGAAATTGTATAAATTCTTAGCTTGGTCTCTAAGAGAGCCATGGCCAAAAGTGAACCCACCACAATATAACAATCATAAATAGTATACGTATATAATTACTTTAATATGGAAAAAAAAGTTTGGTTTGTGGGAATAAAAACTAATGACCCTCAAAAAACGACATTCAATCAACAATAGTGTATTAGTGGCAGGTTGAATTGCACAGTTTAACCAAACTAACAACTCTCTCCAACACACCCACTATTCATATAATTATAATTTCCTTTCTTTCTCTTCAAATGGTTTTATACCAAACTTTTATAACATTTTTCTCACACTATATCATTCTAGCTTGCCCATAAAGCCAAAGCCAAAGAGAAGAAGTGGTACTACTTTTCAGATTTTCTGTCTTTTGTTATAAATAGGTACTGTTTTTTTTGGGATAAGCCATTTTAATTAGTTTGGTTTTATCATTTGATCAGAAGGGTTGTGGCTAGATTACTACAATGAGATCGGATCGCGTTGAGAGATTTGTTGTTCTTCCTTTTGCCATCGGATGCGCCTCCGAATCGAGCATTGCTCTCGGGAAAAGCAGTACTACTAATCAAGTGAAGAAACCATGTCATGATGAAGAACAAAAACCAACGAGTATGTTGTTTTGATCGTTCTCTTAATCATTACTCTCTCAGGATCTTGTTTCTCTAGTAGAGAATTTGATGATATATTTAGGTTCTCTTTTATATATTTTTATTTGGTGTGTTTTCTAAGGAAGACCAGAAACAGAAGAAAGTTCATTGTCTCAAGTGAAGAACAAGAGGAATGGTTTCATCAGTTTCCTGACTCTACCAAAGCCTTATATTTCCGGTGGCATACAGAGATTGATCCGAAGCATCAAAAGTTTGTCTCAGATATTTGGTAAGTAAAATCATGCTTTTCGTTTCCTTCTTTTTTTTTTTTTTGAAAATAAATAAAATAAGTGCTTCAATTTCAACAATGTTGAATAATTTTGTGCATGCCCAGATGGCCATTTTCTGAATTTATGCACCTAGAAAGTTGGTTTTTCTTATTAGTAGAGGATGATGGCTTCTATTCTAGAATGTTGGGCAGTACTTTGTGGGCATGTGAATGATTTTTCCTCTCATTCATTTCTTCTCTTTCTTTCTCGGGAGAGTTCTATGGTAGGGTTTGAAAAAGTAAATACCGATAGGTCTCTTTTTCAATCGTCATAAGATTTTGCATACTTTTTTATTTTAATGTGATTTTGACCACATCTAATGGTCAGAAACGTGTACTCACCTTTACCATTAAAAGACCTTTCTAGTTCTTGTAACTTTTTGTATAGATTTCAAGGGCTTGTGGAAGAATTTACGTGTGTACATTTCTAAATGCTCGATGCTATTAGAATGATCAAATATTGCATTGAAAACAAGTATGTGGTATGTGTTTTTGATGAATCGAGGACATCTGATTGCTTGATTTCAGAAAGGAAAAAAAAAAAAAAAAACCATATACATATACTTGTACAGTAATTTTTTCATGCCTAAGAATCCCCCTGTGGACGTATACTGTAATCTCTATTTTGTTCTACTACTTTTACTATGCATAATGTTTGTTATTTTCTCCCAAGTTTTTAACTTTTTTTCTTGGAAAAGTTAGTCTACAAAGAAGAGATTGAAGAGATAGAGAAGGAGATAGAAATCGGATATCCAACAGACGTTAAACACGTGACGCACATTGGATTGGATGGATCAACAACAACAAATCCTGTGAAGGGTTGGAAAAATCTCAATCCGCCAGAAGTATTTTCTTTCCCTTCCATTTCTCTAAAACATTTTGAGTTGGCAATGGCTGCACAGTCTGATCATCATGAGCAACCTCAGGATGTTGACATCAACAAAGTTGCTACGGAGTACAACCAAAAAAACAACAATGTTGCTACAAAGAATTTAAAAGCTTGATTATGATCCAATTGACTGTTTTTGTAATATTTCCTTCATTGTTGCAGATTGATTACGGTTTTGATGATCAGTTGATGAGTAACATGATTGATAGTTAATCCATCGCTTTGTATAGATCTTGGAGAAATTTGGAATTTAATTCACGTCAAAAAATTGTATTGTTTGTGATTTTTTTCCTTTTCATTAATGATCACATTTGATTATCATGTGCTGAAAACTGCCCATTTGTGACATTGAGAAACCTAATTAAGTTGTAGTTGTACTTTTGCTATGTGGACATATATATGGTCTTTTAGTTAGTAAATTGTGTTAGGAAAAATATAGAAAATACAAAGAAGAACAACAACTTTTGCAAGAACAAAATAACGAAATTGTACAACACTAATTCAACCTTTCTACCAAACTCAGAAAATGAAATTTCAAGGATGTCGAGGCACGTGAACCACGCTTTCTTTAAAATAGATTCGTCCCCTCCGACGAGTACTTGAGGCAACGTTGGACGTCCGTCTCTCAGGATACAACGACAACAACGGTAGTTTGAAGCACTATCGGAACCATCCGGCGAACTAGAACTCGGACATTCCCTCTATCACCAAAACGGAACTACAAAAGATAACACAAGAGAAACTTGGAAAAGAAGAGAAAGAACTCGAGAGAGAGAGGTGAGTGCTCTGTGCAAGTGAGTGCTCTTCTTCATGTGGTAGACGCCTTATATAGGCTCTTGGAAAAGGGGTTATGAGACCAGGAATTAAAGGTATTAATCACACATATTAATAGTGCAAAAAAGTTTCCTTTCATCAAGGTGAACCCGGCCACAATACATATCTAGGTTCAAGGAAGAACTGATGCAATAACCCGCCTTTAACATCACAATTAAGCTCAACATTAACCACACCATTAATTCCTTTTTAATCACCATTATGCTAATTTACCAGCCATTAAGCACAACATTAAGCTTAGGCAAAACGGTTGGAAAGGTCTTGGCCAAATCAAAAATAAAAATTGCAAAACTAAGCTCGCACGGAGCGGGTTTTCTGGTCCAGCATTCGTGTCTGTAGGTTTCGGGCACACACATTAGGCCCCTAACCCGCTAGGACCGTGATTCGCATCCCTTTTCTCGAGGTTACTGAGAGAATCTATATATATAATTAATTATTATTATGAAAAAATTTGCATAAAGTTTGTTGTTTTTAAAGTTTGGGGATTTGTTTCTTACCTTGTTTTTAATGTTTGTGTTTTTGGTATATCTGGATCAAGATAGAAGATTGTTGCTGTAGTACTTGATACATATGCATTGCCTTAAACGTAAACAATAAATTGGTTAATATTTTGGTGTATTAGATGTAAATTTTTTATTTTACATATTATTTTTATAAGTTGTTAAAAAATACCTAGATATTGTTTCACCAACATTGCTGCAAAAACCGCAACCACTGGTCCTTTCATTGATTTAATGACATTTTTGTCAAATTGATCTGCTTTATGTCCCCATAATGTGACTTGAAGTTGTTCGTTTCTGTGAGAAAAAAAGGGCAAAATAAAAACGCTAGAATGAAGAGTTTTAAATGATGTAAAAGTTTTATACTTTTATTAAATATAAATTTTTTTATATGATTGTGGTAATGACTATGAAAAGTTAATTTACCTTATATTTTGTATTATTATGGTCCGTCGAGATGTTTATCTATCGTTGATATTTGTTTGTTCAATTGTTTGTACTCTTGTAAGAACACCGATTACATCTGTTGAAAAATAAATAGTAAATGTTAAAGACGTTAATTAATACATTGATGATGTTTTTTTTTTTTTGAAAAAAGTAATTTAGTCGACTGAATTCTGTGCTGAAGTTGATCGAATTTGATGAAGTAAAATCTATGAAATGGAATAGGCGGTGCTTGTTCTGTAACTGGAACGAAGACTGTTGCGCGGGCAAACTGTAGCATTACAATATGTGGAACAACTTTGTATGTTGATTTGTTCTCAGTGACGAAGAAGTTGCTAATATCATATATATTGCCTAATTAAATTTTTTGATAAATAGTATCTGAATCTCATGCCCTAATTGATCCTTGAATTGCTTCATGCTGCAGATATAAAAGGTAATATTGTTAGTAGATTTATAATATTTGGAATTAAATGAAAAATAATAGAATATTATATTTGTTAAAAAGTATTACCTCTTTGTCAGCTAAAACACAATCAAGACTGATCAAACGTCCAGCGCTCAGATTATTATTCGTCCATAATCTACAGATTCTAGCCCTGATAGTTTCATAAACTTCATTTGGTTTTAGGGCTCGAATTAATATGGTCATTTTGGCTAACTGTTGGCACAAAAAGGTAATTATTTTGGTGCATAAAAATAGGAAGCTTTATTCGAAATGTTTTTGATAGATGAATAGTAAGCAATTTTGATTATAAAAAAAGATTATGAATCTAATATTTAATTTATTATAATATTTGTATTTTTATATGGTATTTTATTTCTTTATTTGATGTTATGTAGAATTTCTTTGTAAACAATATTTTTTATATAATTTGGATATTTATTAATTGAATTATGAATTAGTATATGCAATCATTTTGGAGTTGTAGCTCTTGATAAAGCAACATATAATTGTTTGTGGGTAAAAATTTCGCTATCTAGATATAATCTTATTTTATTCAAAGATTGTCCTTGTCTTTTATTTATTGTCATTGCAGAGAAAATTTTAATAGGAAATTGTCATCTTTTTAGTGTAAATGGTCATTTAGATTCATGTACAATCATTTCTATTCTTGGGATATAGACTTTTTCATTAACGTTGCTTGAGTTTATGATTTGTCCTTCTATAATTTTATTTGTTAATTGTGTAATAATAAGTTTTGTTCCATTGCATAATCCACTTGATTGATTTAGATTTTGTAATAACATTATAGGTGTTCCTAATTTAAGCTTTAATTCATGTGGTGGTATTCCATTAAAGTTAAGAGTGTGCAAAAATTCTTGAGGATATAAAAGATTAAGTTCGTCTATATTTTCGGATGAGGATGCAATAGTGTCGTAACTATAATAAGATTTTTCTTGTCCAGAAATTAAGGATAATATGTAATTATTAATTTCATTAGCTGTTTTATTTTTTGGTGTTATGATTGCTCGTTCTTTTAAGTATTCAATATTGCTAAAGTAAATATTTAAATGATTATATATTAAAGTTAAAATTTTTTCAATTGGATTTGAATCATAATGTAGCATGTATTTTTCTGGTATTTTTACCCATATAGCGTCTTCATTTTCTAAATCTTTTATTCCTTCAACAGTACCACCTCCAACGTTTAATATCCATTTCAAAAATGTTACAATTTCCTTTTTTTCTTGTTCTGTATGGTTGTATTGTTTTAATCTCATCTTTTCTGTTAACTTTATAATTTTGAAATATGACCATAAATAAGAGTTATTTATAGTTGTATTTATTATATCTTCCTTTGTTCCTGTGGGAATAACTAGTAAAATTTGTTGGAAGTCACCTCCTAAGACAATTGTCTTGCCACCAAATGGTTGCTCAAAGTTATTTATTAAATCTTGAAGTGTTTTATCTAATGCTTCAAAACAATATTTATTAGTCATAGGTGCTTCATCCCATAATATAAGTGATGTTTTATCAATTAATTTTGCCAATTGAGTTCCTTTTTTAATATGACAAGTGGAAAATTTATCTATTGACAATGGTATTTGAAATCTAGAATGTGCAGTTCTTCCCTTAGGCAGTAGTAGTGATGTTATTACGGAAGATGCAACAGCTAAAATTATTTCATTATTTGATCTAATTTTTGTGATTATTGCATTCCATAAATATGTTTTTCCGGTTCCGCCATGACCATAGATGAAAAATATATTATTTTTTTCCTCATGGAGTGATTGTAAAATTTGTTGATAAATAAATTGTTGTTCATTATTTAAACTATTTACTAATCTAGTATTTTCTTCTTTTAACTTTATATATATCGTAATTAAGTTCTTCTCTTAAAAGCTTATTATTTAAATCGTCCATTAATGATCTAGTTGGAAGAGGTAAGTTAAAATGTGTTAAGGTTAATGAATTTAAATTTAATATTTTTTCTAGTTCATATAGTACAAAATTATATAATTATGTTTTAGGTACTTGAAAATTTGAGTTATTAAATAAAGATTTAATTTTGTGTAATATATCATCTGTCATAAGTTTCTAATGTTTTTCAAGCAATTTTATCGGGTTATTTACATTGAAAAATAATAAAATTATGACGAATAATTGTCGTAGTTGACCAAAATGAAGCTTCTAGTATAGATTCATCCAATTCTCAATCCTCTCCTAATAGGCCTAGTGCATAGCATACTGCTTGGTTTGTTGGATATGTTATGTCATTAATTGTTCGAAGAGCTTCGTAACTTGTTGCGCCTTTTTGATGATTTAATTATAATTTAAGATAGTATAATTCTCCAGAGCTTGGATGGACATGAAAAGTTCGTCCAATTGTATGTCCCATTTGTCTTGGAGACCAATATTTATATTTACTATTCCAAACGTATCTAATAAGAAATTCCATGTAAGTTATGTGGCGACCCACTTTTGAGGCCGCCACTGTAGCTAACTTTTTAACTTGTACTTACTGAAATTTCTTTAAAATTTGCGGAACATTTTTTTTTTAAATCTTATAGTAAGTATAAGATACGAATTGCTTTCTTAACAAAATATACAACCTTAACATATCTGTTCTTCAAAGCATATAAATATAACTATATATATATATATGTACTCCTTAAATCTTACTTACTAATAGCCATAATCCTTAAAACCACTTAACATATAGTTTCAGAGTCATAATTAGCAAACTATTTATAACATAAAGCTGATTGCGGAAATACTGTGAGCGGTATCCATTTTCTGATCCCCACATCGTTTGTCCACTCACCGTCAGTCCATCAGGCATTATATGCCGGTTGCTTACCTACAGTATAAACATTCTATAATGAGCTTTCACTCAGCAAGTAGGAACTACCTCTCGCAAAATAACTGTAAGTTTAGATGAATAAATATGCATGAGCCAATTATGCTTAATTATGATGTATTATCAGAATCTTATTATCTTATCTTATCTTTCTTATCTTTTCTTTTAGG